CCTTTCTGTCTCCTGGGAGTGTACTCTGACTTTTGTAGGATTTGCTTTAATTCTAGAGAGAAGTTGTGTTGAAACATTCCCTTATAATTCACATTATTTTTAAATACTAAATTTGAATTAATGTCAATATAATTTGCTGTTGAATTTGCTTGTGTGATTTTGCTAGTATCTATAATTTTTTTTTCAATTCATACCATGTGGGATATCAAGCACATTGATCTTTTCTGTCAATTTTAATGGTACTTCTTTGTGTGGAACCCCATCAAGGTTTACAAAGTGTATCAAAGCACTTTTTTCAGTATATTTCAAAAGCTATTGATCTAGATGTAATTTGTATTGAAAAGTTTCTGAAGACTGCTAAGACATTGATAATTTTTAATGTATGTGAGCATTCTGCCATAACCCACTGGGTTTTTTAAACACTTCTTCTTTGGGTGTTGAAAATCTGGTGACAAGATTGCTCTGAGAGAGCATCTGGATACTGTGGTCCTTTTATAATGTATTGTTCCAATAGAGATCTTTGCTTTGGAAGCAAGAGTCAGCCCTTTGTTTACAGATCTTTTTGCAAATGCACAGCAAATAATCTATTAGGATTTATTTTCACTGCAATGTGAGGAACAAAAATGGGTGCAACTAACTTGATTTTAGGACAGTGACAGCAAGGATGTAACATAATTTGCATCTTCTTCACAGGCTCCAGTTTCAACCATTCATCCTTCCATCTGAATGCAACTGTTTTCTAGGGCTTGGCCACCTGAAAAGATTGGGGCCAAGGCCTTTCCTCAGGGTTTCGTTGTGGAATTTGGTGTCATAGTGTTGCTTCCTAAATCCCCAGTCAAAACCCATGCCATGCTACATGTTAGGACAACACCTAGGCACATATCTTTCCCTTCTTTCACCCTTGTTGGCAGAGGAAACCCGAGTGTATGAAACTGGGAGAGGACGACTGCAAGGTATTCCTTTTGTCCCCTGAATTGGTGGATGGATGGAGTACGACCTAAGTCTATCACAGAGCAAGCTTGCCCTACAAAACAGGCATAATTATCCTGGTACAACTGAAAAGCAGCTGTAAAGGCATCCATATCAATCTCCTTGAGCAGAGGAGAGGTTGGGACATAGCCTCACACTAAAATTTTTAAAGCCAATAATAAAGGTATTAATTACACCATCAAATTTTATAACCATTCCTAAGACCTTTATCCTCTCTGACATCTAATGAGAGAGTGCATGCTGTCTGGGGCCATGATTAGCTCAGAAAAAAGGAGAGATTAGAGTATTAGACATTACTGAGCAGATGGATGATTACACAGGATCTTAAGCCAAGAAATAAACATTCCCAGTAAGTCACATTTGGAAAATAAAAAAAAAAAATTAAATAAATCTTTAAATACCTGTGGAGATAAACAAAGATCTAACTTTATGGTGTGTCAGCATACATACCAGATGATGAAATAAAGAATGTGTAAGGTTTTCACATCTTTTCTCAGTTTAAAAAGCTCACTTGGTCAAAAGACTGTGGGCCACAGGAATCATGTACATGTATTTCCAATGCAGGAAACTGCAGGTGACTCATCTACATTGCTGGTAATCCAGTATTATTCATACTGTGTTTTCTTGTATTTATTGGTGGCTCAGCTGTTGGTATTTTTGGGAATACAGAAATAATGAGTAGTGTAAGGTTTTGTTTTGCTCGCTTTTTAAAGTTTGCATACAAAAGAGATGGAAATGTTGATCAAGCAATTTACAGAGCTAGAAAAATGACAGGCTTCGTTTGTAATAACCAACTCTTTACTACACTAGGAAATGATAAGTATTTAACCTATATTTTTGCAAAAATGCCAACCAAAAATCATAATGTTCTGTACTCTGTGGTTTAATATTTGTTTGGGTTTTTTACGTGATTGAGTTAGTTTGTTGGTCCCAGAGCAAGGTTTGTGGGTTTTTTTTTGGCATTAGCCACTTTCCTAGGAACTAGCCTAAGGATACATGTTTAGAGGCTCAACTACCCCCCTGCCTCCCCCCTCCACTTCACTCACATTCTTTGTTACAAGAAAGACACTTCACCATTTGGAAGAAGGATGAATGCAGGGCCCTTTAGAGAGAGGGCTGAACCAAGAAGATCTATAATCTGTCTCAGTAGGTGGTTGGACATGATGAAAAGAAGTTTCTTGCCTCGGAAAAGAAATCTTAAAATGACTCTAAGTATGGTATTATTAAGGTATGCTATTTGTGTAGTGTTCCACTGATTTCTGTTTGCAATTTCTAATCGTCTTCCCTGCAGACTCTGCCTGTAAATGGATGAAGTCTTCTTCTGCTTGTAATGTTTTCTAGATTAATTACACCCCCACGGATACCTGGATATGTGCAAACTTGTGACTGCTAGACTGTATCACAAGGGGTTAAATAGCACTAAACCCACAACAACTACATTAGAAATATTCTTGTGACTGGCTGAGTCAGGCAGCAAAGAATTCTGAAAATCCTGGGGCAGGAGCCACAAGCATAAGATCACAGATTATGCTTGTAACTATGGATGTGGAGACCACCTGTTCTAGAATCATTTCAGAGAAAGAGAACAAGTGGCATACAAGTCTCATGCCACGAGACTCCAGTGCTAAAAGTCCAGTCTGCAGATTTTATTCTTCTTTCACCGATCTTGTCTGTTTCTGTCTTCTCATTTCTTGCTTTCACGTACCTTTTTTCCAAACACATGTCCCTGTTGCTGTTTTCTCTCTTTTCCTTCTGCTTTCTGCAGCTCTCTTTTCTTGCTCTCTTCAGCAAGTCTGCCGGGAAGCGTATACAGTGCCCTTCGTCCCTTCCAGCAGCTCTTCTTTGCCACCTCGACTGTCTTGACTGTTATCAATTAGTCACATGCAAATTGCTCAAGTGGGACACTATTTTTGTTTCAGAAACAGCCAGGTCTGTCATATTCAAAAGTACTCTTTTGGTACCTCAGTTAGGAGTCACACAGTATTAGATATTATATCTGAAGGCTTCTAACCAGGTAATGGCCACACAGATACAGCTCATGTTGCTCATATGTTAATATTTATTTGCACAATATGAAATTTGCCTACACTTTCACATTAGGTGTAATATTTATCATTGGATGCAACATAGAAGTGATGGAAAAGATGAAATAAATATTGTTGAAATTGTCTCACAATTCCATATCCAAAAGTAATGCAAAAACCTAAGGACCCTTTAGGAGTTGGTCTAATGCTTTTAATCCTTGACAGAGGTCTTGCTGTGATTAATTTTCCAACACTGGCTTAGTTGTATGTGCTTTGAAGAAATACTGGGACTAAAGCACTCTTCATATTAGTCAAAAGGTATTTCTTGCTGGTGATTTGAAATTTTAAATAGAAAATCGAAGTTAAAAACGTTAAGACTGGGCAGCAGAGCTACTAAAAGCTACAGCTGAACTGACACACATAGAGGAAAATCCTGTCAGGTTAAAAACAGAAACATGTTCCACCCATGGATTAACTGTATATCTAATCCACTCATGTTCTGCCACATGGCACACTACCTACACACACAAACTCTGTGGGGAAGAGAATAAGGGTACAAATTTATGGTAAACCTTACTTCCTTCCCATCTATTTCTATAATTCTGAAATTAAACAAACCTAGAAGTGCCCAAACATTTTCCAAACTATAGTATCAGTTATCTGCACAGTCATGTTTCTGAAGATTTGCAAGTCAGTTTATTCACTCTCCAGAATTATCCCTTCTGACTTCAGTATGCAGCACATTATGCTGAAAAAACTTCTAAAGTCTACATCTGTTCAGTGCTATGGATTTACATATTGAGTTTCTCTCTAAAATGACATACATATGTATCATTCATGAGAAACAAAGTCCTTCTTTTGGGAGTCTTCTGAATGGTGTTTCCCACTGTACATGTACTTTCAGTACTGAGACTTAAATGAAAATGTCAAAAGTTGCAATAAATGTTAAGATATTTGTTTAGATCAACAGGGGACTGATTCTTCAGAGGCATTATCTGTTGAGTGAGATTAAGGCAAATGCAACATTTAGCACTCCTGTGCAAACAGCAATTTAGTCTTCCTTTTCTGAACAAACTGCAGTTGAAATCCAATCACTGGATTGCATATTTAAGTTGCCTTCTCACAATTTTTCAGTTACAACTTTATTATGATTAAAGACATAAAGAGTAAATTGAAGACACTACTACAGTTTGTTTGTTGTTTTTAATTACCACTACCCATAAACTCCCACTTTGGCCACCAGTAGCTGGGGAAGAAAGAAGGATATGTCCAAAAGTGTGTCAGTAGCATTTGCCTTTCCCTCTTTCAGCACAGCCAGACTGTAAATGGGTCATTAGTGGAAGAGAGAATAGCCTGAAGATTTTGTAAAAAAACATTTGCCTGTAGCACCCCTGGAAGCAAAAAGGGTGAACCCAACATTAGGGATTGTACCTCTGCCTCCCGTTGACTTGGGCAGCTTCTGAGTGAGAGCTTTAAGATGGAATGAGGTGCAGAGATATGTGCTGTCCAACCATTCTTCTTTGCCAGGAGTTTATCAGTAAAGACTGCTTTAAACCTACACTGATTTGTGCCAGATAGGGTGACTTTAAAGTTTTTCAGTGCTTGTGAGAGGTCAGACAGAAGCCTAAATTAGAGTCAGCATTTCATAAAATACAACAGATAACAGGCACCCTGAAAGCATTACATTCAAATAAATGTTTTCCTTCTACTTGTAGGATTTTGCAGGAATGTTGCACCATTGCTCTAATCCTCCTTACGGCTTCTTGGTTTTTAAAAAAGAGACAGTGTATCTAATTACTTGATTGATGAAAAATGTACATACAAAAGCTGAAAGTGATGAAATTTCCAAAGAACATAAGATACAAGAGGTCTGGTAAGCTAAATATTAACCTTACAATTAGGCAGTTGCTAACTTCATTTTAATCACATTGATTAATGAAACAACAGAATTCACATAGATATAAAGGCAAGTTCTAATACTCCTTTTCAAAAGTCATCTAGAATTGGGTAAATGAAGTTGTCTTTGAACAAGCAATATGCCAAAATCTGTCCTCCACAAATCATTGAAATTACTCCAGATCCTGAAAGAAAAGATATGGGGTTTTTTTGTATTAATTTTTATAGTGGAATACAAACTTTATGATAAAACTTTAAACTGACATTCATTCTATCTTCAATTAAAAAAAAAAATAAACAACCCTCCTACTTCAACATTTTACCCAAGAATTAAACCACTTACAAAGATATCAGCCTCCACAGCAGCTAATGCAAAATCTGTTGTAGGACAGGGAATTTATCTCTCCCTATCACTTAGGAATTTATTGCAGTGGTTGATCCTTGTTATCCATAATATAAGAAAGAAGAACAGAAGCCAATCCTTTTTCCTTAAGGAAATCCTTCTTGGTTTTCAAGATAATCTGCTTTTCATGTACAAATCGATGCTTCTAATTTTACAGAAAATTAAACATTCAGAAATGTAGTTTTGCCATTCTCTTTGAGGAAATGTGATGACTGAAATTCATCTCATCTATTGTAAGTACTTGTACATACTGTTTATAAAACTTGCCTCTGAAGGTATCTGTTTTTTTTCATTGATTTTAAAGGGTCTCAAGAAAGGCTACAACTTTGGACAACTGTCTTTCTGACACTTGAATTGAGATACATTTCATCTTATTACAGGTTAAATAAGTCTCGATTAAGTCCTGACTAACTGAGATTAGTCAGGACTTAATCATGACTTATTTCAAGTCACGTGTCTGCTGTTTGTTTGCAAGATTAGTGTAAGATGAGCATATTCTGGCCTTAAAAGGGATGATTTTTCTTAGATGAGGAAAATCCTGGTACAGCATTATTTACTAGTGTCATTAAAAGAAGTATGAACAAAATGCCTGTACTTCTTCTTTAAATGTTGACAATTCTCAAATTAGTGAGGCAACAATTCATATTATAAACACTAATTTTCTACACACATTTTAGCAACATAAACTTTAAAGAATGAAATTATACCTAATGCCAGCCACCAGTGCAACATCAGGGGAAATTCAGACATAACTGCAAGAAGAAGAAAAGTAGAAATGTAAATTTTAAAACAGCAAGAATGGGGACAAGTAAGCAGTGCACTATGGTATCAAAGATCTGCTTAGTTATGTTTCACAGATTGTATTTTTTACATATATTGAAATGACAAATGCTTTGGGTCCTGACCAGCACCTGCCCTGGCCACCCCCAAGCTGACCCACATCCCCACTGTGGGATACCTGCAGGGCCATTCTCTGACCCCATATTTCCCCCCAAAGAAAGCTGACAGGGGCATTAAAGGGGGCTGGGAAGCACACTGCATATGCTGACAGCTGAGGGTCAGCCCGCAGAGGTTGGATTGGCCATCTGAAGGAAGAAATGATAAATCTGGGGCTGTTGGGAAACCAAGACACATCATCAGATAGAAGCTAACTCCCTGTAAAAATTATGTACAAACAGGCGGGGGTTTGGTAGCTTTTGTAAATTCCTTTATTTAAATACAAAAATTATTAATGAGGAATAACAGTAGTTTAAATTCCAGAAAACCAAACCTGGTAGATGAGAAAATATGCTTAATTTTTTTAAGACAAAGTCTCTGTTGGTCTCTGGCTTAATTTGTTAGGGAACTGGGGAATCTGTCACCTGTATAAAGTGCTAAAAGACAAATGGACAAAGCAATGGAAAATGAAAGATTAATCTCTATGCAGTAGAGAGGTATCCTAATTTGTCAAAAATTCTTTCCTTTTTCTGCATTCTAGGATAAACATATTAACCACATTGTTTTAAGAGAAAAGAATCTTGTCTGATCCTACATAGGGTCTGGCAAGGATGGAGTTAAAATATATTTCCTAATTAGCCATAGAAGCATTCTGCTAAACAGCATGAGAAGAGGGAGCAGATTACTAGGTGTTGGCAAAAAGAGATGATGGGTCTCATTTACAGCAGCCAATTCTTTTCTTTTTCTTTCCTTTAAGGGGTAGAGTTTTGTGGGGGAAAGGCATTTCTGTGGTAAAATGCTCCATTTTTCCCACTGAGATTTAGTTCAAATGATCTGACTTAAAACCTTTGCACTGACTTTGCTGAGGAACAACTCAGTTTTTACTCTGAAGTTGAGCTAAAGTGTTAATGAGTAGTTCTTAAAATATCCAGACATGAACAACTATTAATGTCTTGTTTTGAAAAAAACTCACATCTCCCAGATGCAGAAATTGTATCTAGCCTGGATCTGTTTGATATGAATTGTTAGAATATGAACTAAAGCTCTGATTTTTTCATAGGAATATAATACTTTCAAATTCTGCAACAGATCCAAAATTAGGTTTAAAATGGTAGAATTTAAATAGAGGCATGAGTCAAATGGATGAAAAATAGAGATACATACGTATTTAGCTTTAGGGAAAATTAAGTTAGTCCGGTAATACACTGGATGAATCCTAGTGGATTTGTCCTTCAACTTGTGATACTATGTGACACTATTTAGCAGTAGACCTACTTACCAACTGAAGTAATGATTATATGAATAACAGTAACTGTTACAGCATAGTCCCAAACCCATTCTTCCACAACCAGAGCAAACAGCAGACCACAAAGGAAGAAAGTTATTTCCAAGGATATCACAAGAACTGTAAAGGAAAATAGGATGTTTTCACCAAACACATTTTTGAATGACTTCTTTTTATATTCCAAACAATAGCAATAAGAAAATAAAATACCTGAGAGAGTTATGCATTTTCATGGATGGACAGAAAGGAGGATGCAATAATAATTGGTGGTATGAAATAGCTACTGCCTTTCACATATAAACATATTGCATCAAACTCATAAAATTTCGGGGAAAAAATCATACTGAGATACAGTAATTACATTTGACCCTGAAAAGTAATTCTAATGGAATATGCTTTAATTTTTTTTTCCACTGGCATAGCATAAATGTTCTTTCTTCATATGAAATCAGTATTAACACTGTGCAAACATCCATGCATTTTTATTACTCTTTTAAGCTACGAACCAATTTACTTTTGAGCTTTATTTATTTTACTGACAGATTATGAGATTTGCCTTTGTAAAATAGATTACAAGTCTGGTAAAATTTTATGTATGCATGTAATTTTTTAGGAATTGCTGTTTAGGAAAAAGAATATATTTTGAGGACTTCAGAAAAATTGCAGAAATTTGTATTAGGCTATGTAAAGACACTTTTAGGGATTGAGCTACAATCAAATTCTGATATTTTAATGCCCACTGTATTCAAGCATTACCAAAGCAAAATTGCCATTAGTTGAATGTGACCCATTTCTCTGATCTGAATCCAGTAATTCATAAGAAATTTGCTGCAATAAGATAATTAAATTAAACAGCTTTGTGAAGGAACTTGATGGAGAATAGGTAATTGTTCTGCAATGAAAATGAAGCTTCCTGGCAAAGCAGGACATTTTCTTATGATGATGCAAGATCAGAAGAAGAATTCAACAAAAAGCCTAAAAATCACTTGAATTTTAAATAGCAGTACAGAAATGAGAAGCACTGGCAAGATGCATAAACATTTAATTGCAGCATAGTTAAAATACAGAAATCATTACTGAAACAGCTTTAAAGTACTATCCCTTGGAAGACAAGTCTACATCCATATGCAATATATTTTGTTGAGTGAGGGGAAAAAAAAAAGATAAAGAAACTTCAGTTACCTAAATAATATGGGTTAATCCATGAGGGATTTGTTTTAAAATCAAAAGGTGCCAAACCATCCAACATTTTAATCCTATGGAAACAAAGTGAATATATTTAAACAGGGAATTTTAGTATTTAGAGTTTAGACTACATGACATATTATGAATATTTTTAAATAGTATTTCAACATGTCCCATTCTGAGTTTTGGTTTTGCCCTTGCTCACTTTTATTTAAGATATTTGGTGCTATGCATGATAATCAATAACTTCCTGGGGAGCTATAATTTGTCTTTTTCATTGACTATAAAATCTTTATTTTCCTTTTTTTCATGTCATCTTTTCTTTGATGTTCATTAATTTACATGGTGTAACTGCAAGGACGACTATTAGAACCAATATTTTATATTAGTTTTGAGTCTCCACTTGCCAATTTGAAAGAAGATTCAGGTACAACAATTTATCTGAATTTGAAAAATTATGTTCAGAGAATAACCAGGCCAGGACAGGATGCCTCCAGTATGGATGCTTCCTTTAAATAGGCATATCTCCACCCATGAGTTCCAGTATGCCAGCATATCAGACTAAAGACAGGGAAATCTTACCTGAATACTGCAAAGCACACAGAGAGGACCACATAGTACACAGTATAGAAAACTATTATGCATATCAACAGGTTCACCAGAACAACCTGCAAAAGGGCATAAAACAGTAAAACATAAAGCCATGTTAACAAAAGGCATTCTCAGAAAATAATTCTAGATTTCTATCAAACAAAATGTGAAAAAAAAAACGTGTAAAATAAAATATTTAGGCAGAATTTTTGCTGTTGCTGATTACATAAATGTGCTAAAAGCTCTTTGATACATTTCAGCTCCTAATGTGTTGCTATAATGTATGGCTTTTTTTCTATCATATATTGTTATATACCTACTATATATACAATTTACAAGTGCTATATATACAATATACAAGTGTTCTTAAAAGTAGAAGGACATTTTTTGATGGTTATTAAGAAATTAATAACAAAGGGACTCAAAAGGGAGCTGTAGCTAGAAATGTTTGGGGTTTTTCTTCATTAGGGCTACAGCACTAAAGAGGTCAATCTGTTTAGCTCCGAGGGATGATTTCATTATGATGGATAAGTACCTTCACAGAAAATACCAGGTACTTAAGGGGTCTTTAATCTACCAAAAAAGACACAAGAAGTAAACAGCTACAAGTTCTAACCAGACAAATTCAAAAGATGCAGGAAGGACATCTTGACTTGTAAAGGGAACAAACTCCCTCTGGAAATGAGATCCTACTAAGCAGTAGTAGATGCTTCTGAGGATGAAACTTCAACTCTAACATTCATTTTTTGGCCTTAGTTCTTTGAGTGGTTGTGTGGTAGGTCATGCATTTACAGAAGCATCCAGCATTGACAGAAGTGGGAACACTGTGAATATATCAAACCACCTATTTTTGTATTGCTAAATGTTGTAAAGTGTTAAATACTGAATACTGCCTCTATCTCCCACAATAAGAGAGACCAAAGAGCTTTAGTTTCTAATGCAACAGGAGATAAACCCATCATGCCTGTAGAGACTACTATTTGTCAATAACAAAAAGTCCAGAACAGTCTTAATCTTTTTTCTTTTCCCCTACACCAAAACAAAGCCAAGCAAAAACTGAGAACTATTAATCTCTTCATCCACATTGGTTTGTGGGCTAAATACAGGTCCTTTGTGCTGTCTGTATTCTTATTCTAAATGAAAATTGACCAAATGACCCATTGGATTCCTTCCTTTCCACAGTGCACACCACCACTGTGGTAATGGTAATCAACTACAGAGTCACATGCTAAGTTTGGCAGACATACTATCTCCTACTCTCCTGAACATAACTTCAAGCATTGCAAGCTTAATGTCTGGCACATTTTTAATGGAAATCTTTTTTGTTTCATTGCTCTGGGCAGCTGCAATTTTCCTGTGATTCTTCTTTATCCATTGCCCTTCCTCTTGCCTCTGTGAAGCCTTATCTGCCCTAGATGGAGATTGGTACAGTAATAAAAGTGGGGAGAGAGGACTGAAGGGAAAATCCCAGAGATGAAGGAGGGCTCTGAGACGATGACCTATTGACCTGTAATTACAGTAGGTGAATTCCCAGCCTTGAAGTCAGTGACAAACTTTCTTTGGCCTCAAAGGCACAGTATTTTTCTCTTTGTACCCAGAACATTCCTAGTCCCTGTTTTAGGGATGTAGTGAGGCATTAGCTATAGTACGCTTTGCTTACTTGAGTAAGCCAAGGAAATGCACACAACACAAAAATAAAAACACTGAACATTTTCCAGTTTTATCACATTCTACCTCATTTTTTTATTTGACCTTGCCACAGAAATTTATATATACATTTTTTTTAATCTGAGAATACTTTTTATTTTCAATCTATTTTTCCTTTTCTAGATCTTCTGGTATTTCAAAGCAAAAAACTCACAAGTTAAAATCTACAGGATTATTCATTATATGTCAAAACAACTTAAAAGATGAATCTTAGGAAATCACTGGTGACATCAAATGTAAAATTTTATGACACTTCCAAGAATTTTATCTCACAAGTGGAACGACATCACATATTTTGAAATTCTTTTTATAAGATGCACTTTGCAGTACTTGCTGCCAGCACTATAGGATAAAGTATCTTCTTAATTTTGGGGTTTTTTTTAGGAAGAGAACATTGAAGAACAGTCTGTTACAATGAAAGCAACAGCTCATTCCAGCCCCGCAGCAGTTGTCTAATTCTCTAATACTATCTGGTGACACATACAACACTAAATAAACTCAATTCCCTTTACCTTGGTTTCAGCAGTTTTGACCTTGAGAGCCATGGACACATGATGAGTGAAAGGAAGTGCTCTTGCTATATTCCATATGCCAACTTTAGCAGGAAGAAGCAGCTGGTTTTCACCCCAAAAACCATTCAAATGGGTAAGTATAGGACAGGGTGGGTGAGGTGAGTTGATTGGATTAAGCTGAATTGAGACAGAAGACATCTGTGAGCTAAATGTAAGCCGCTAAAGAGCAAAGAGAAAATCCTGCTTGCTCATGCAATGTTCGTACTTTTGGAGCTACACTCAGCCAAAGTGTATCTAAAACATAACTTGGCTATTTAGACACAACATTATTATTTTTTTCCATCTTTTAATTGCTTTTTTTTCAGCATTCATGTGTTCAGTTCTTTGGGGTTAGTATAACTTCCTACTTTTAATTATCTTTTACATTTTCTAGCATTAATTCTATTGACTATAGATGTGGAGTGATACATTCTTCACAATGTTCTTTGCTAACATTTTTGTTCTGACTATCACTTTATTACATCAAGTATAATTCACATTAAATTAGGTATAATTAAGTTAAGAAATTCCAGACTTGTGTTATGACTCTTTTTTTCCTGAACCATATTTTGTTCCTTCAGTAGAATGAAATTTAGTGTGCTTTACAGCACATCCAACTTCTAGTGAGCAACTCCTTAATGGATTCAAATTTGACTTTTTACAGGCACATTATGATTCAGTATGCTGTATTATTTGGAAAAAGAAGATGCTTCTGAAACTGAACCAAGAATGAACTACTTCTTTTTCTGCTGACACTAACATTATATGTGCAAATTTCATTAGGGTTTTTTATGCCTTTTTAGTCATACAAAATAAATGTTATCTGCTCTAAAATGCAGTCTGCACTCGGCAAACAAGAGCTTTCACTCATAGATTTGATAGCTCCAGATTGTGAATACTGCCAGGGAAATTACTGGTAGTATTGTGTGAAATTCCTTCCTGTGCAAAAATGCTAGCATGAAAATCTGTACATCAGTAAAGTCCTATTTTGGGGGCTGAAGTGATGACAAAGGAACAAAATAAAAAGCCCTAAACGAAGTTGCTTGAATAATTGCAATAGTCGGAGGTAGCAAATAAATGAAGAAATATTTGCTTTAATAATTAAAAAATATTTGGAAAGGAACAAAATGATTCATTCAAAGAGCACACTATCTACCCCAAAGAATCAGCTGAAACCAGCCATGACCTAAAATTAATCTGCAGAAACTTTTTCAGTAGCTATAATTAGCAAGATAATTGAAAAAGTAGTGGATTGCATTAACTCAGATTAAACATAACAAGAGTTTACGTTCACTGACTTCTTCACAAAGGAGGGATTTAACCAGATTGATGATAGAAACAAAATCAACAAGTTTGACTGAAATGTAGTTGAAGCTGTAGGCATGGATTTTTTGGGCAGACCGAGAGGTTCTTCCCATTCTTATTGCACAGTTGAAAACTTTAAATACTCTGAGAGAACAGATAACATTTCTGTCACACCTTTGCTTTAAGATTGTAAACACTTAAATTGTGGTAGCCCAGGGAACAGGAGTAAATCAAACTTGGAAGTGGCAGAAAGTGTGTGTGACCCAAAATACTGACTAAGTCACTGAATAGTGAACATTAACTATAAAGATGATGCTATTAGCTACGTGTTGAGATAATGGAATAATGACTTTTTGTATTTTTTATTTTCTTAAAATTTACCAGATCAGCTGCAGGAAAAAAATGGCAACTCCTATTCAGCAGAGAGAGACAAAAGAGAAGTTTTAATGGAAGTTAAAATAAATTATCTAATCTGGTTTCAACAAGCCCTACTTTTAAACACATACCATTCTTTTGTCATTACACTTTAGAATTTTATTAGGACTGTGAGGAAAAAATAGTACTCCATTACTTTTGAGCCCCTGGAGTTTGTGCTAGTTTGCTTTGTGGAAACCTACAGGAAACAGTTCCTTAGATAGGATATCAATACCTGATCCTCACATGCTTGACAATAGTTACTAAAAACTATTTTTTGACATTGGCTCTACACATATACTCTCTTTGTAGTGATATGTAATGGACAATATCCAAGATACATCCAAAAAACCGTAACAGCAGAAAATCGCAGAATGGAGAACACCTGAAAATAAAATTAAGGATACTTCTATAGGGCAGTAATTCTTAAGAATATGATAATTGCACCTAATAGTACCAAGGCAGTACCTAATTCCTATCTGCTACCTATACCAAAACAAGAAGTCAAATGTAATAATGAACCGTGAGGAAAATTTTGTAAAGCTTACAGCTAACTTTGCTTCCTAAGCTTATTTTCTGAGTTTTAGCTTTTTTAAGAATGTTACCATTTACACCCACAATTTGTGATGCTGTCAAATAGTATTGCAAAAAAAAAAAAAAAATTAACAACAATTTGAAGAACTGTATCATACAGCAATATTACAGGAATATCTCACGGAAAAGAACAGGTAATTTGTGTTACCGTTAAGATGATTGTTTGCACTACAGCTCTGGGCCTTGAAAAGCAATGCTAGACCAGGAATCACATTTCTTAGGTAATTCCAAAACTTGAAAAAAGTTTTAAAATCAGAGAAATTAATAAATTCCAAGTTTTAGATTAGTTTAGTTTAGATTATTATCCTGAAATCTTTAAAAAGTAGAGAATTCAACCAAATGGATGCAGACTGGATTGTGTGGTAAGAAATTTTTAGTTTACTGGAGGATGGCATCAAAACATGTGTACTCTGTCTCCATCTGCTGATAGGGAAGAACTACACTTACATTGTGTGTGAGGATAGAAGAGCTTGGAAAAATAAATGGTGGCCACTACTTTTGTGGCTGGAAGTGACTGGCAGAATCTGTCAGTGCAGGGAAGGGAACTAACATTTGTTCACTTGGAACATGTGAAAAGAACATATGAATGACAGCCCCTACAGTTTGGCACTGGTCACATATTCATTGTACAGCCTCACTATGACAGCTTGACTCCCATATGGGAGAAGACAGAATCATGTGAGGTCTAGACTCTACCACCATGAGGATTAAAGCAATTAGCTTCTTTCCTTCTTCAACCTCTGTTGCAGATGGATACATTTTAAGGGGTGAGAAATCTGAGAATTAGGTGGAAGCAGGAATGTTCTTTGTATGTTCTATTTTTACTTTCAGATTTTGTTGAATTGCTTTTAACAATGCCCCTATTCCTGGTAATATTATCTAAAAGAACTTACAATATAACTGATTAAATAAGAGGTGAGTTTTAGAAACTTTCAGCTTCTGAAAAGTTGTCTTCTTGGATTTCTGTGTTAAAGCTTACAAATTCTAAAATGTTCATAGCACCAAAAGAATTAAACTCAAAAACTGATATAATTCCTTCTGGCTAGCAGACTGAAAAGGAATTGGATTCTTTTTAGAAATAATTAACCCCAATGAGCTACTTGTATCTAAGGAGTTGACTTAATTAATAGCAAAAATAGTAAACATCTTTTGTTTTGCTAACTGACACTGTTGGCTTCGTGAACAAGTTCAACATAAAGCTTGAAAGTATTGGCAAAGAAACCAATTTAATAGGCTTTATTTATTCAAACTAGAAATTAATTTTATTGTTTGTGAATGGTGTGGGATTGATAGAACTGAAAATTAAGTCTTCTGTTTATCCAGAGAGAAGCTATAACACAATTGCAGCAATGTAAACTTTCCACTCTGGCCCCACTGTATGTCTAAGAAGAAAGTTTAATTGTCTGTATTTAAAAAAAAAAAAATAAAATAAAATAAAAAATCAATATTTGGCCTTTCTGCTGAGAAGCTAAACCTGCTGACAAGCCCATATTTTGAAGATATTCTGGCATTTCCACTAGTGTTAGTGGGAATTTTTGGTAAGTACAGTGAAGCACTGAAAAATCCCTTTAGGACTAAGCCCACAAGAACAGAGGAGCTGTGAAATTGCTGCTATGGTTATGTCATGTGGGATCAAACACTTGTAGATAGGAAAGGCTGCTGCACCTCCATGCTCCTAAGATCAAAGAGTAGCCAGGCTGTGTGTAAGCACACACACACACACACAGAGCATATAGATACATGCATACACATCACATATGTGTATATATGTACATGTATACATGGATACCACAGAGCTCACACACACACACACACACATAGACAACACCTGTGGTCTCATTCTGCTCCTGTTGTCTGAGTAGGTTGGAAGCCCATTAGTGAGAAGATTTATACATACTTATACACATGGAAAGGCAGCTGTGACTCAGCTCCAGAAGATGGATCAGCACGCTCTCTGCCCAGAAGTTGGCATCTTGATCCCAGTTTGTCCAGTTGCTGAGACCAGGACATACTCACCCCTGTGACTGCAACCCCACTCCAGTTTCTGGTCCAGACTCTCACACTCAAACACACTTTGCCACACTTGTTCCTTCACCAGTCACCTAAATCCCTCCTTTTAAAGCCTTTGGTTCCATCCTTAAACATCTCATTACAAATACTGGGCAAACCCAAAAAACACCCTTCCCCTGCATCCCATACTGTGTCCCACCCCTTTAGCCTGAAAGGTGATTCAGGGAGAAGCTCCAAGTGACTCATCTTGATGGGTTTCACCCCTGGGCAAAGGGGCTGAAGTTCTCCTGATAAAAACCTGGAAGGTGTTTGCTCCTCACAGGCTGTAATTTGTGTTCCCGCCATTGAATGTCAGAGCTCCCATGGGCTTGCAGAGATGGGTCAGTGGTTCTCTCTGATGGGCCTGGGATTAGCCCACCATGGTTCTGTTTGAGCTCCCTCTCTGACACTCTCTCACTGCTCTCTCTCACGGGTATGCCAACAGGCAGTTACCATCTAACAGCTGCCAAGCCTGGTTTTCTATCATTTTCTATCAAAAAGCCAAAATCTAGCTGACAGGATATTATAGGTGATTTTGGAATGGTTGAGCAGTTAATGGGACTATCAGCTGTATGGCTAATTCAACTATGAATTAGATACTTTACAAAAATCTCAGCAAGTAGCCACCACTC